ACTGGAACTCTTTGAAGGCTATGTGGAAAGAAACCTGCATAACCGTATTGGGAAGGAAGAAGAAAGGAGATAAGGAATGGATCTCGACGGACACATGGAAGCTGATAGAGGAGGGACAGGAAGATGGTGAAGCCGAAGATGAACCAGTGTAGTGCAGGGATGAACAACGAAAGGAGGAACTGAACACATCCTATAAAACACTACACTGGACAAAGAAGTGAAGAAGAGTGTGCGCAAAGACAAAAGACACTTCTACGATACACTTGCAAGTGAAGCGGAACAGGCTGCTGGTAGGGGAGACAGAGACCTGACAACATTATATCAAATAACCAGGTTACTGTCCGGGAAGAGATCAACGCAGATGAAACCAATGAAAGATAGTGAAGGAAAGCTAGTTACCAAAGAGAAGAAATAAAGGAAACGATGGGGTGACCACATCAAGAAGCTCTTGAATCGACCACCACCTTCACTTCGTCCAGAAATACCACCGGCAACGGTAGAACTACAAGTGAACACAGGTCCTCCGACAAAAGCCGAAGTCCTGAATGTCACGCCATAAAGTTGCTGAAATCCGGGAAAGCAGCAAGACCACATGGAATTCCGCCTGAAGCGCTGAGAACAGACTCACAGACAACAGCGGACATCCTCACACCACCATTGCAGAAGGTTTGGAAGGAAGGAAAGGTACCTGCAGATTGATTGGAAGAAGGGCTACCTTGTCCATATTTCAAACAAGGAAGACCTAAGCCTTTGCAAGAACTGGCAAGGAATCATGCCCCACCCTTGTGTACCCCAAGCAAAATATTGTGCCGCATCATCCTGGAGAGACCAAATAATGCGCTGGATTCAAAACTACAACCAGAACAGGCTGGCTGGCTGACTCCAGGAAGAACAAATCATGTGTGGATCAAATTGCAACGCTACGCTACGCATCATCATAGAACAGAGTATAGAATGGTAGTCAACTGGATCTTCACCTCAACTTCATCGACTTTGGAAAGGCCTTCGACGGTGTCAACCGAGAAGTAATTTGGCAGTTGCTACAACACTACGGAGTGCCACAAATCTTTATCAACCTCATTCAACAACTATATGAAGACACCACATGCCAAGTAATTCACAATGGGAAGCTCAGTGATGCCTTTGAAGTGAAGTGAAGTGAAGACAGGAGTAAGACAAGGTTGCCGCCTACCATCACCAATGATCTTCCTGATTGTGGTCGACTGGATCATGCAGCCAACCCTGAGAAGCGAGAAGATCGGCACACGCTGGACCGATGAAAAGAGCCTAGATTTGAATTTCGCCTATGATGATTTATGTCTAGTGTCGCACAAACTCGAACATCTACACGCGAAAACTAACAAGTTGATAGAAAAGGCAGGGCAGCGAAGACGGGACTTCAAGTGAATGTAGAGAAGACAGGGGTGATGATGATAACCAACCAACGCCACCACCAACAACAACAACAAGCTCCAATCACCATCAACGGGAGAAACCTAAAGTAAGTAGTCTCTTTCAACTACCTAGACAGGCAGCATCGTTTCAACTACAGGCGGCACAGACGAGGATGAGAAAGCCAGGATCGGAAAGACAGCAAGACAGGCTTTCCTTCATTAACCTGAAATCAGTGTGGAGATCTGCTGCACTGCACTCAGTATAAAGCGTGAACAAGATCAGGAAAAGCATTTGCAACAAACTACAGACATACATCAACAGACGCCACCTACGCTCACTCCATAATGAATATCAGATGGCCAGAATAATGCGAATAAGCAACAAGGAACTCTGGGTGGTTGGCTGGCAACGAACCAACCAAGAATCCATCGCCCAGAAGAAAGTGGAAATGGGTTGGATTGGGCATTCAGTGAGAAGGCCTACTGGGGAAATCACGCATCAGGCCAGGCCCTCGAGTGGAATCCAAAGCGGAAACGACGAGTTGGGCGTCGGAGGCGAGGGTGACATGTAGGAGATTATGTGAGGAAGAAATGAAAGGTTGTGTGCAGTGGTGGCGCCAGGTTGAAAAGACTGCAGAGAAGAGAGTGGAATGGAGGTGTGCTACTGAAGCTCTATATTCCACTAGGAATTCAAAGAAAACTAATAATAATATCAATAATGTCATTCACCGTGATCACTCAGTCTCGTTTCAGCATTTTAAATATTTCTACCTCATTACTTTGTATTCTTTTTATTTAATCCTTCATCATGCCATCCATGGCAATTTATCGTTCTTGAGAAATGGTGCTTAAAACGCGTCAATATGTGACCATGTTTATTTGGTACCTTTAAACAGAAAAATTTGTATCATGCTTTGTCATATTCGTTTTCTGCAAAATACACTAGAAACACAGCTGACTACGAGGTAGATACATCCAGCTGACTAGTCTCAAATACGACGAAATGCGGATTCTGAATTCCACTGCAAGCTACTATCGGTCATTTGCTGTATATATAAGTGAAAACACAGGAATATCCAAACATCCGCGCAGGAGACCATATGCCAATTTAGACCGATCATTTCGCACCAATCAACGATGATATAATACAAGCAGTTATAGCAATGGGATATTAGTTGACGAAATTTATTCTACTTTGACATTTTCGTGGAGCCATACTCAATACTTCTGAAGAATATGAATTTCTTTACCTAACTTTCATACTCAACTTGCAGTTAACAAAAACACTACCAGTATATCCTCTAGTGTGTAAGAATATGATTTAGGAGTCAGTATATTTTCAATATAAGTAGATAAATAAAACTTCAGCACCATGATAGAATGCAATTTCATATTAGATTTGTATATCTGATTAGTATAGCACACATTGTGTGATGCAGTATTACTTGGTCACGTTTCCCGCATGAATTATTGCTCGTATTCATTTCAATTTAATCACGCAAATTTAGACACTTGATTTTGAAATAACCGAAAAGATTTTTAACTCAGGATAAGAATGATGTTGCTTTGGTGTTTTCTAATCTTTGATATTTTGTCGTGTTTTATCAGATATCATTAGTCGCAGTATTGTCTTGCCACTTTATTGTGCAATCTTCCATCCAGTAGAACAACTGATGGGTGGTCTATATCTAACACTTTTTGTCTAGATGTTCCGACGAAATATGAAAGCTCAAAGAACACCAAACCACCAACAAGTGATTTTTTGTCCCGTCACCCCGTATTCTTTGTCTTTATTGGTAATAAAATTTCCCATATCTCTGGTATAGGTGTTTTGACATTCTTATTACATGTGTTGGATGGAATTCAAACCCACAAACTCAAAGAATTAAACTTTGTCGGCTTAAGGATCCGACTGAAAAAAGCAGTTTGACCTACCAAATCTCAAATATTGACTGTGAAGTCAAGCACTTTGGTCAAAATACCCATTAACGCGTCAGTTAGATTACTAGAACATAGGAATGGCAGACGTCAATAAAATGTAGAATCTAGAAACAGAACTTGTCTGTTGCAATGCACGCATTAACACACAATCAGACAGTAGAGTAGGATAAAAACACTTCAGCTGGAGAGGGCGATTGATTACTAAATCTTTGATCATCGAATCAACACTTAACACGTGTAATAGGAATGATGCAACACGTATACGAGAGATAAGCGAAACTTTACTGCCACCAGAAACTAAAAAACAAAAGGTGATAGAACTATGAAAATCAGATAACGAAAGTTGTATGATTACATTGATACGATTATGAGCAATAATTTATACTGAAGACGTCAACAAGTCAGTATATTCTCATGGATATTGGAGTATGTATGAATAATCTTGATGAAAGACCACTAATGAAGACTAAGATTGACGAAAGGCTGTTCAAGTTTCGAAAAAAACACCAAGCAAAACCAGCTATTTTCCAGCGAGATTACTCTGTTACAGTGAGGAAGGATAGTTTCAGAAGTCCACTAAATATCTTATTTTCAGATGTAATCTGTGTGTCAGTGCGTTGAAATGTCTAGAACCTCCTTATAAGAAATAGGAACCTGGTGATAACTACGCGACATATAGCAGATGGCCATGGCAGATGACCATATCAAAGTAAACAAACCCTGCTATTCCTAAGACTTCATAACTTGTAACTCCCCATAGCTGATTGGACCAAACTGATAAGTCATTATTGGCATATGAGCTCCTATGTGAGTGCCTCGGTATTACCCTTAACTTCAGTTTCCTTGTAATGATGGATAGTGGCTAGCAATGGAATCCAGTACACATATTCCAGCTTACTTGGAATTCGTCAGCTGGCTACACCTGCACTCTATTGCATGGTGCTGTTCACACTGAGACCCGAGCCCAAGAATCATCGCTTCAAACACTATAGCGTTATCCACTAGGCCACTGAGGCATAACAGCGTGATGTTATGACTGACAAGTCTAAAATAGGGCGAAACGCACGTCTTGTACTTCACTGTTAGCCAATATCCATCGCTACTGTTGTTCTTAGGCTGAAAACAACCTTCAGATGAGTAGAAAAGCTCAGTTATATCTACAAACTTCTACCTAACCATTAAATTAATTCAGACCTGACTGCAGCCTTGGTTTATGTGATTTCAAATCTCAGATGAGACGTCAATTCTCTGGAGGTTCCAAGTTCGTCTTACTGACAAGTGCCAACAACTTCGAACCCTAGCCCAAAAAAGCCTTCCTGTCAATTGCCTTCACACCAACTAACATTCATCAAAGTACACCGTGATGCTGAGCTTCTTAACTGGGTGACAGAATTGCAAATACAGTTGACAGAATTCTGTCAACACCCAAGACTGGATAACATGAAACTGGTTGTTCACCATTTACCAATGCCATAAATAGTTGATAGCGAAAAATGTTAATAAAAATACGCAAAAAATAAATTGCTTGTTTGTTTAATCATGTGAGTATTTAAAACTATACAAATAAGAGAGATATGTAGATATGTACAACTGAATTCATTGAATAAATATGTATTCTAGTAAAAGATTGTGATTGGTGAATTCGTCGCTAACGTACATATTTACATAACTTATCACCTCATATAACAAACACCTCAATCTAATAATGTCCCATTGAACATGAAATTATACGGTGGAGTAATTCGACCTGTTAGACCTTTACACTTCAATAATTTATTACTTGGAACTCTGTTCATATACACAGTAATCTTGTTACAAGGAGTCAGTGGTACGTTTGTAAACATTCCCATAACTTTGACTTTTCAAATGTTTATTCTTCATAGGCTCTAAGCATAGATAGCTACTAGAGTCAGAAAAGTAAGAGTGAAGTGTGCATAATATGATAAGAACATGTATGTAAAATAAACCCAATAGCAATCATGAGTTATATGTTTCAATTTGGGGGTTTGAGGGGATTTATTGATTTCGAGCTGGTATTCATTATAGGCTGACTTCAGTTGAAAGAACACTGGAACATTCGTCCCCAATCTTCCTCCATGATAAACACCAAAGTGAATTAGTCTAGTGCTCTTTGATGACTGGCTTCGAGAGGTGATTCCTGAAGTTCCAATGGGAAGTCGTGACTGGCGAGGCAAACATGGTGAACTTGAAGACAAATACTAAACTACGATAGTGGGTGATGGTCGCGCTATATCGTGAACCGACAGAAGCTGGAAATATGGACCATCGGATTTCGACCCAGTGGATCGATGGTAAGTTGCTGGAAACGGAACCTGAATATCCCGAGTTTGGTCGTTGGTGGGGTGGGGTCATGACTGCGCACTGCTGAGCAGCCCCTTGCTAGGACGAAACAGCTGTCCAGTGTTCCGAGGCTCCCAACTTTTCTCCAGCCGAATTAGTCCATGATGAATACAAACCTTAAACTATGCGTTTATAATATGTATCATTCATGAGAACTGTGCACTGAAGGAAAACGATCCTAGAGTTTGAGATGGTATGACTTTACGCTTCATTTCTTGAATGTACACTCAGAAGGAATGGGACAATTTTCTCTTCGTGACAAGAGACTATGGATTAAAATTGCTTTCTGCTGTCAAGGTTTGTCAACAACCCTGAAGTTGTACTTTCATACAGGCCGAACATTTTCAAATGATGCGAAATTGGAAGACATTTATAAGATCCCATATTTCCTTGCTACTTCCCAATTCTTCACATTTAAATGATCTCCTTCACTAATTATCGACTGATATCTCTAATTTCCCGTTGATATACTGGACCGAACTGTTCAACCTCTTTAAGTATATGGGTTTCTACGTGGATGCCTTGATACTGCCTGCATATTCATTACATTGTAGTCCATATGATGGCTAGCGGTTGAATCCAAGACGATCTTGTCGTCCTATTTGAGAAATGTCATGCGAATTTAGGTGCATCCTAGTGAGTGATAGTGTTCCCTGATACCCAAACCCAGTACCTGTCACTTCAAACCCCAGAGCATTATCCACCGGTGTACGGTAGCCACCTCTTGCATGATAGGTATCAGTTGTTATTTGTTGATGCACTGGATCGAACTGCTTGACCTATGTTTTCATTCTTTGTTGAAAATGATTTTTATGAATGCCACTTTTCTACAAGTTGTTTGCAACTAATTTCCATAGTTGTGCTCCTATTTATGTGTCACATTTTGTCACCAGAGTAGCATCTATTGCGGTGTCCAGAGTACGCATAGTGGATCTCACCACAGCCACACAAATGCACACAAAGTGCAACATGTTTTCATCAGTTCTTTATTAATGGGACACTGAAGCTGAACAGAACTTGAAACAAGGCCATCAGCTCTATTACTCATTACTCATGTTGATAGCGTTGTGTTCTCTGAGATGGATGGTTTAATAGTGAAGCTTTCATTGCCATTCTAGATAACATCACCAGCGCAAACTTCAGGAAGAAATGAGCTATAAGGTTTTCTTCACAATTTATTTAGTGCCTTGTCTTGATGGCCTTGTGTGTGATTGCTTGTTTTCCTCAAGGTCTTGTGTCCTTGTCTCTACATTCATTTTGATTGTTTGTACTGATGACCTGAAATTTGACTATCATCTCGTTCCTCATTGTTGATTGTTTCACAATCATAAAGTGTTCACGTACTAACATTTTAGATAGCCAGTAAGGTATCCTATTTAACTTGCCATACTTATCTTCATTACTTGTTAGCGGAGAAATCCTATGAGTGGATGAACTTGTATTCACCTTTATTTATCCTTATGTCCTGTTCAACAAAAATGAGAACCGTTAGATTCTAACCCAGTGGCACAATGGTAACATGCTAGTCGCAAAACCTGGGTTGATATCTCATGGGGTCATGGGAATTCACTGCTGTGGGGTCACATAATAGAACAAAACAGCTGTTCAGTGTTCCTAGGTGGTCCTCTAAGCAATGTCAGTTTGTGATGGATATTAACTTAAAAAAAACTATCTGCTATCATCATTTGCACAACTCTATAAACTGATTCTGTTGTTTTTATACTTCAAGGAGATGCAAAAGACGGTAAGTTTTGAGCGTTCTAGATTGTTCTGCACAGCAACAATTTTACCACAAACTTGAAGAAATTTCAAGGAGACAATTATTTTTAGTAGAATGAGTAAGACTTCGTGCATTCAACTTTATACTAACAGACTATGAAATATGAAATATGCTTTCTGCATTTAGAGGTCAATTTACATCATCATTTTATAAGTGGTATACATTTACTGTTGAGTTGATGACCTTGACGAATCACTTGTTTTCAGATTGCAGTAGGTGTCTAAATGACGATGATGTGTGATGAAAATTCCTTTCAATTGAGTTGATTCTTATAAAATCCCCAATTTAATTGTAATCCACCACTCATTGGTGATGATTCACTGCGCAATGGATTTCCTAAAGCAGTCATGAAAAACCTATGATCAGTGCGGACATCAAATCTGACAGCAAAGTTGGATGCTAGTTGCTAACACTGGGCAACAATCACAGCATGTTGAGAAGCGGTTGAAGTTGAAAACTAGATCAATGAATTCCAGCTCAGTAGCCCGATGTAATGTGCTCAACACAAGATATCACTCTATCCCTCATGGCACAGATGGCGCACACAGCTGATGAGTATGATGCTACGACGAAACAGCTGTCGATTACCCTCAGGAACGTAATAGTTCTATAGCTGGCATCATCCCCGATGAAAGAAATAGCGTAAAACCAGTATAACCAGTAGATAACTTCAAATATGCTTTACAAAAGCCTCAACCTTTAAGCGAACAAAATATTTTGTTTGTTTAAATGCTTAGGTAAAAAATTTAATCTCTCACTGCTATGACCAAGTATAAATAGGCAAAGCAGTATTGAAAGTGGTGCACTTCAGCTTATAGTGTTTGGTCAGAAAGACAATTAATGAGGTCCAATTCAATTAGCACCTATCCAAGCACCATTAGAAAGTTATTTACATATAGGCCTGTTATTATGCCCTATATGTGGTTCACTAAGTTGGTAAATAAGTTGATGTTCAATGATCTTGAATTAAAACGTTTCATTTGTACGAATATTACCAGTTATTTATTCAATGTACTATCTAGCTATATTTGATCTAAGGTAAGTATGATTCATATTTATAATACTCTTTCCAGATACGTATTTTTCGTATAACGCATCATTCCTATTTAATCCAACTTCAACTAAAATCAACCACCTCATTCAATGATTTAAAGAGTTTCGCACTCGTATTGACCATGAATAGTGGCCTTCAGTGGAATCCAGAATGCGCATTTCGTCGTATTTGAGACTAGTCAGCTGGATGTATCTACCTCGTAGTCAGCTGTGTTTCTAGTGTATTTTGCAGAAAACGAATATGCCAAAGCATGATACAATTTTTTTCTGTTTAAAGGTACCAAATAAACATGGTCACATATTGACGCGTTTTAAGCACCATTTCTCAAGAACGATAAATTGCCATGGGATGGCATGATGAAGGATTAAATAAAAAGAATACAAAGTAATGAGATAGAAATATTTAAAATGCTGAAACGAGACTGAGTGAACACGGTGAATGATGATATACTGTCGTAAAATTCGAATGCTGTTCAGTAGCGTAAAATTCACGATTATGGGGTTGAGGGATATGTTATAAATAGAAGAGATGTAATAGAATAGTGAAACCATGAAGGAGAAATTTGGCGAAATGTCAACATAGATGTACCGTTTTCAAAGCCAGTTTATTAACTATGTATTTACTAGAAGCACTAATGCAGAATGACTCACGAAGATGTAGTATTGCAACAGTAATACGTGTATTTCAAGCGATACCAAGAAAGCGGTTCCGACAAACAGTTAAGTAAGGCTCCGTTGAACGATATTGCATGCCTCCATTCACATGAACCTCATCCCAACAGCATAGACTCATTGGTATTTCAGGTTGATATTCATCCTCAGGTGACATCAGTTGGAGAGCCACTGGAAACCTGGGAGCACTGGACAGTCGTTTCGAACCTGTATATGATTTCTCAGTGTGTGCATCCAGGACCTTAGCCATAACCTTTAGGTTCAGATGTCAGTACACTGAGTTTAATCCTCTGCGCCGGAACCTGGTGAAGATACATCCAGCGGACGAGTCCCAAATAGGACTAAATTCGTATCCTGTATTCCACCTCTGGCCATTATCAATCATATAATATATATATATATATATATATATATATATATATATATATATATATATATATATATAACTGAAAACGCGGGCAACATCTGGGCATCCGGACAAGTGCCCATATGCCAATAGACATCGATCAACTGGGTCCAGTCAACGACGGTACAACACAAGGAATTTTACTAAAAACTATACCCGTCGCACAAGCAGTGGCTATCGTGGCTCAGTGGTGTACTGGATAATGATCTGGCGTTTGAAGTGACCGTTCTTGTGTCCGAGTCCCGGTGGGAAAACATCACACACATCCAGCTGGCGTGCTCCAAATGGGACGAAGTGCTCATCCTGGATTCCACTGCTAGCCACTATGCATCATTACTGCATATTATTATCTCATTGATTCAAATTATTTCATCCATGATGAAAAGTATTATTCAAACTATAAATAAATAGTAACATTTTGGAGAGAGCAGCAGTCATAGATTTTCAACCAGGTGTAATCAAATCATTGGTTGTATTGAGGAAGCGATTCGGAGCTTAGCTGAAAATTATTTTTTTTCTTAATGGATGGGATGATGCGTTAACACAACTGTGGGATCGGAAAGAACAAGTATGTAGGAACCATAGGTGGTCGGTCTTGGCTTCATTGTTTTTTTACGATGAAGTGTTCAGAAAAGCTGTTTCCGTTCACAGAATTTTTAAGGCATTCACTGAATCACCAATGGAATCAGGACTGTAAATGTTATGTTCTCCGTGAAGCAGAGAACAGATCAGATTCCGTTTCGTGTCTACAGGTATTTAACTGTTTAATTTCATAAGCTATCTCTTCCAGGTGTGTTTGCTGTTCGCATGTCTCATCAGTATTTCATTGCTGTGTCTTGTTAGTTGTGCATTTGAAAGAATATTTTTAAATGTGATCAGTTCTCCAATTCCTACTCAGTTGCCAGATAACAGTTGTTGAAAAGACAGAGAAAATCTTCTTGACTGTCTGCAGCATTATCGTGATCGTAACATGCATCCATACAATTCGAAATGGTCAGACATTTCGCTCATTTATGTTCCTAAGCTTTGACATAAAAGGTTTTGCATCAGAGTACCTAACAATGAACTCATAGGTATGCCATCTTTTAGTACGTATAATTGATAATTGAAGAGGAATGGAACAATAAAGATGCGTCGTAAAAAAGCTCTTGTAGATACCGAGTAAGTATGCCAAGTGCGATCCGTTAGAATCAATTTATTCACATATGCATATTGTTTCCAGCTAACCAAAATGTCGTAAACACCGTGAGACTACGTCTGTGGAAAACGTCGTTTTATCGGAATATTTAACATAGTCAGGTTAAGTGACAATGTCGAAAGACCCATGGAGTGGCCTCAAGATATAACCGACCACTATCCAATACGATGACAAGATAAGCATGTCTTGTGGACCTTTAGTGGTCCAAAAAGTAGCCAGAAGGATACGGAAATCCGAAGAATTTCGAATCAATGAACAATTCTGTGTTCGATAGTAGAAGAATGTCTATTTATTTGTCTTCAACTTGTTATATTTTATTCTTCTTGTTGCTGGGTTTCGTTAGTTTTGCCTCATCAGTAGAGTACCTAAAAATCCATCGGGTTTCATAGGCACAATCTTCTTGTTGGTCATCAACTCTAAATTATTTGTGGCGGTGTTTAAAAACTTGTGACCACCGTCAAACATCATTAATTGGAAGTGTTACAGCCAATCTTTAGACAATGATATCAAAACACAGGTTCGAACTCCGAGATTTTCAAACTGTACTTCAGACTGATGTTTACTATCATTTGAGGGTATAATGCAAAATTATAGATCTAAAGATGGTGTCTGTAGCTGAAATGTTGACAGTTTGGTTTTTGATAAACTAAAAATGTATTTCTTCGCGTTATTTAGCTGTCTTTTACTTGTAATATATTCAGTATAGTCTTGTCACACTGTTACCTTGTAATCTGCTTGAATTATTCTTCATGACATCATCATCAAAATCAACATAGGACCAGTCACTACTGTATTACTGCCACAGCTCATATCAGTACATCAAGTAAAAAGGCAGTGAAGTGCAAGATGAACATAAGAAAATTCAGTGAACAGAAATATAAAGTACTAAAAGAGAGAAATGAAGAATGAGAAAATGGTGAGATTCGGTGAAGCGTTAAGATGAGGATAATGTGTGTATACATCTGCGCCACTGACACCGATTCGGAGCCATTTGATCATCTAGAGTCTCCAACCACTGGTTCCTCTTGTCCCACAGACTCCAACCGGTTAGTCTACATCGCCTCACATGGATCGAACCAACAGTCAGAGACTTCATACATTGATGCCGTGTTTTATTTTGGCCGCCTGGGGCCATGAAACATTAGTCTGGTTTGAGATCCTGAAAAATGTGGGTACTTAGACGGACACTTTTATGGTTCAGGTTTAGGTGACTGATGTTACTTATTTGGCTACAGTTAACGGAAGGTCAATCACGGACCGCATAGATCAGTGGTAACGTCACTGATCACAAAAAATAATTGAGGCCTTATGTCGATTGTCACCAAACACATAATATTCATCGAACTGCACTGCATTGGTGAGCCACTTATTTTATTGGCAACACTGCAAAATGATCGATAGAATTTGGTCAGCACTCGGGATAAGATAACATGAAATTAGTTGCTCTCCAGTAACCAACCACTGTATAGGTGATTGAATTCCGTACTGTGCTTGAGTGTTCTGGGATTAGGTTCGATGCGACTGCGTCCAATTGGCTGCCAGTAAAGTTTCGGATGCTCATGTTGGTCTAAACATTCTCTCAAATCCAAATCTTCCTTGATGCTTGAAACAATTTAAACGGAATAATGCAGAACTTCACACACATCCTTCTCCATCAAAGAGTACTTGCACAGTCTAAATAATCGTGAAATCCCTCCATTTTACAACTAAGCGGGGTTTCAAAATATGTGAAGAAGTTCTAAATGAATAGTACTCAACACAGATTCTCAAACTGAATGAGACTTCACAATTTATAGATATTCAAACCAAGTTGGAATTTGACAGCTTGAGAAAAGTTGCACATTGGGTTTTTCATTTCCCAATGAACGTGAAGCAAAATAAATTTGTTTCACTTGACGTTTTACTATACTTGATGTTATTAATTACTTCTGACTTAATGACCAGCAGTGGAATCTAGCTTGACGCTCATTTCGTCCCGTTTAAGACTTTTCAGCTGGGTGTACCTCCGCCCCAGTGAGTGATATTGCCCCCGTTGAGACTCGACGCCAGTACCCACCGCTCCAAACGCCAAAGCGTTATCCACTAAGCCACTAGGGCACGCCAGCCACAGTTATCAGTTATTCCGTTGATAATTGTAATTTTCCGTTTCTATACAGGGTCGAATTGCACGACCACTGTTGGAAGATGGGCTTTCTTGCAAGTGCCTAGATCCTGCCGGATATCCATGGTATTCAACCACTTATACCCAATGTACAAGAGGTGGATATCGCGCCCCACTGGTTTAGTGGACAACGTTCTGGCGTTTGGAGTATGGTTACTGGATTCGAGTCTCATTCGGAACAACACAACTCATTGGAGCTCAGGTAAATCCACCTGAAGAGTCCCAAATAAAAAGAGGAGCGTGACAAGCTGGATTTCACTGCTAGTCACCAAGATAAAGATGATATGATGAATATCCGGCAGGATTGAGGCCTCCTCACAGGACCCCATTTTCCAACATATATCGAGCTACTCGGCCTTGTCTAAGCAACGGGAAATTACAAGTATCAAAATGACAACTGATGCTAACAACTTTATTCATATCATAGTAAAGTGGAATTGAGAATAACCATGTTTCCATATGATTACTTGGTCAGTGTTCTTTTGCATGAGTGATTTTGTTTTGTCGAATTGTTGAAGAAAGATGATATCCATACAGTGTACGGAAGAGTGTATGAGTGTATGGACTACAGATTGAGATTTTTATGTACACGTATGCTGATAGTTCCCACTCCATGTATGTTGGTTATGTTAGCATGTGGGGGTGGGTTGAGACAAGGTTAAACTATGTTTTGTTCCCTAATTCCTATCTATACATTTTTACTTGTCTCTGTGTGAAGCGATTTCATCAGATGTTCTTTATAGTTTATAAAGCCTTTCTGAATAAATTCAATATTGTTAAAATTGAACTTGTGACCTCAGAGCTATGGCGGAAGTGTTTTCAAGTTTTTCTAGTTCTCTAACATTTCTAGGGGCTGGTAGAAGCTATACAGTGTTCATTTCGATTTCATGGGAAAACTGTTCTATGTGTACTTCATCGCAGTCTGGGGATTTTATTTTATAAACACAATTATATTGTGAATATAGAGGGATCCCGTCCTTCACATTGACTATACTGCCGTGCAATGTGTTTGATGTTGTGTAGAACACTTTGATATTGCAGTTGTTGAGAACTCTCCTAAGTTCATTTGAGGTATGTGATCTGTAAGAGATAACTACTGTTGAGGCCTATAACTTAGAAGTACTTTTACCACCTAATTTCATATTGTTATCTATTTTGTGAGTGAATTTCACCGGATAATTATTCATTCTAGGATGTTGGCCCGAATAACCTCACTGACTACAATACTGGATGAAGCGGGCTGAAATCACTGAGGAGACATCAGTTCCCTCACGGTTACAGATGAGTCTTGCTGATGAATGCCAACAAGCACGAAACGTCGGTCTAGGACTTCCTGACGATAACCTCCAACCAACTAACATTTATCAGTGTCGCCCGTGATGCTGAACCCCTAGTCTGATGGTCAAACTGCGAAAATGATCGATAGAACTTGGTCAGCAGTTAAGGCTAGATGACATGCAACTGGTCTCTCTCCAATGATCCACCAACGTATAGATTGTCAGTAATCAGATAGTTGGTCAAATAAATTTAGAAGCTTATTCACTTCTGTATATGATAGAGTCATTTTATGAAATATTGTGAAGAAATCAAATATTTTTTACTAACTTTCAGATTATTCATTGTCGAACTCTGGTGAGTTTTAGGTGTTTTGAAGGCGATGAATATTTGAATAACGATATCAACTAGAAATCTTCGAAGGCTACACACATTGAGAATGTAAACAAAAGACAAAACCAGGTTTTCTGGACCTTCTGGTGTTTTTTCTCGACACTGAGGAATGAAATGTGCAATGAACTGGATTTCTGTATATTTTCATTTTTTCCTTCTAAAGGCTTCAACATTTACACCGCTGACAAAACAATGGCCTTAATGTTGTCAATAAAAGTGGAAACAATTTGCAACTACCTACTTTGCTTATTAACATTTTTATTTCCCATCCATATACTGAATTGAATTGCTCGACCACTGTTAGTAGATGGGCTACTACGAAGATACTTCGATATTGCCTGATGAGTCTCCAATGGGATGGAATGTGCTTCCTGGATTCCACTGATAGCTACTACCAAGTGAATTAAAACATTGCTGCTTAGTTATTAAGTTTCTGTTATAAGATAATGTTGTACTGTCTGCTGTGAAAGCAAACTAGCAAATTGACAGTCAGCTTAGTATTCGAGAAACCTCGCCTACTTTACTAAGTCACTAGCTTACCAGCCGGTCCTAAGCCCGCATAAAGAGGGAAGGTTGGGCATAGGGCTAGCAACCCTACCCCGTAAAACCAATCCAGTCACTAAACAAACTTCAAAGCACATAGAAAATATTAAAAATAAAAACAAACTTATTCCTTACCGGAATCGGAGAAACGATTGGTGAAAGCCTTCGGGAAGCCAGTCGGCCGATTTGTCATCTCTCGATGAAAGCGAAAGTAAGGATGGGGACATGGAATGTCCGCACCATATTTGAAGCTAGCGAGGCTGCCCAGATTGGAAAAGAGATGAGGAGGTATGGCATGGAAGTGATTGGGATCTGCAAAAGCAGATGGAATGCAAGTGGACTGTCAAATATGTTAACTCGAGAGTCAATAATCTACTGCGATATTGTCACCCAGACGACAATCACAAGCACACTGAGTTTTGGAGTGGCTATCATGGTGTCTCCGAGAACATCGAAGGCTCTCTCACACAATGTGAACCAGTCTCCTCGAGGATCATGACAGCAAGGTTCAGCTCAAAAGGAAGGAGAGTCACAGTGAAATAATGCTACGCTACGCTATGCACCTACAAATAATGTGGATCAAGAGAAGAAGGAGGAATTCTACAGACAACTGCAGTCAGCACTGGACAAGACCTCAGTTGGCGACATCAAAATTCTAATGGGCGACATGAATGCCAGCCAAACTGGGAGCGGACAACACAGGAAGAGAACACATCATGGGTCGGGAAGCACTCGGTGAAATGAATGAGAATGGAGAACTGTTTGCAGATTTCTGCACATTCAACGATTTGGTGATTGGAGGCACTGTGTACAAACACAAGGACATTCACAAAGCGACATGGACTTCACCAGATGGACACACTACACTAAAAGTCAGATTGACTTAATCTCAATCTGGAGAAAGTGGAGACACAGTCTACTTGACACAAGATCAGATGAAGAAGGGTAGCAGATGTAGGTTCACACCACTCATTATCTAGTGCAAGCAACCTTCCAAATGAAGTTGAAGGCCTTCAAAGAAGTTGGTGATAGACCACAGTTCAAGTTCAATACCCAGAACAGAAAGTGAACTGAAGGACGAAATTACAAGGGACATCTTCACGTCAGCCATCAAGACAAAATGGGAGGCATTGAGGAACATCCCTAAAGGATCGAGCTTGGAGGAACACTGGAACTCTTTGAAGGCTATGTGGAAAGAAACCTGCATAACCGTATTGGGAAGGAAGAAGAAGAAGCAAGACAAGGAATGGATCTCGACGGACACATGGAAGCTGATAGAGGAGGGACAGGAAGATGGTGAAGCCGAAGATGAACCAGTGTAGTGCAGGGATGAACAACGAAAGGAGGAACTGAACACATCCTATAAAACACTACACTGGACAAAGAAGTGAAGAAGAGTGTGCGCAAAGACAAAAGACACTTCTACGATACACTTGCAAGTGAAGCGGAACAGGCTGCTGGTAGGGGAGACAGAGACCTGACAACATTATATCAAATAACCAGGTTACTGTCCGGGAAGAGATCAACGCAGATGAAACCAATGAAAGATAGTGAAGGAAAGCTAGTTACCAAAGAGAAGAAATAAGGGAATTTTTCTCTTCCACCTGCATACCTAGGCAGCATCTTTTCAGCTACAGGCGTCACAGGGGCAGATATGGATGTCATAGCCAGCCAGGATAGGAGAGAGTGGAACACAGGCTTTCCTGCATTTATCTGAAATCAGTGTGGAGATCTGCTGCACTATACTCAGCATAAAGCGTGAATAAGATTAGGACTTTCAACAGTAATCCATTCAAGTCAGTGCTTCTATATGATGGTAGAGATACGTGGCGCGTTGCAAAAAGCATTTCCAACCAACTGTAGACATACATCAACAGCTGCAGCCTACTACCTCTCGATACTGAGTATCAGATAGAAGGCCAGAATAATAAGAATAAGCAACAAGGAACTCTGGGTGGTTGGCTGGCAACAAACCAATCAAGAACTTGTCTGCTAACAAATGTGCAGAAGAAAGTGGAGATGGATTGGACGTACACTGAGAAGACTATTTGGGGACATCACGTATCAGGTCAGATGATAGAGTGAAACCCAAACGGGAAACGGCGAGTTGGGCGTCGGAGGCGAGGGTGACATTAAGAAGATTGTTTGAGGGAAAAATTAGAGCTTCTGGGCAGTGGTGGAGCGAGGTTGAAAAGACTGCAGAGAGGAGAGTGAAATGGCGACGTGCAACTGAAGCCTCATTTTTCGCTAGGAACCCAAGGGACAAATAAGGAAATAAAATTAGTATTTGAGATAAGAGTGGTGACTGTCTCTTTATTATGTCACGACTGTCCATGCTAAATTACTTTCCACTTCTGATTAGCGATATGCTGTAAGATGAAGAAGCGCGCACTTTTCTTTCTTACCTAATCTAAGTGATCATTAACTTGAGGGTTTTCATGAATTTATATGATTTGGGACATAATTAAAGATGCTGTGCTAAATCAAGTCCAGATGGTATGGTAATGATGGCTAATGGTTAGCGGTGGGATCCAATTGGTGTTTACTCTTATTTGAGACTTGTCAGCTGGATATACCTTCAGTTCGCTGGATGATTTTCTTCACGGTTAGACTCGAAAATGCGACAGGTTGCCTTGAAAGCCACAGCGTTTCCCGGTAAGCAGTGAGGCAGTGGTTAAGGTTTTGATGTTATTGCTTGCAGTTTCTCACCGTTTGATTGATTCGTACTGATAGACAATAATAGTATCAAGGCTCCTGTGAGGGTGCCGTAATATAACCATTGTTGAGTTACTGCTGTGAAAACAGATCCAGTCAGCGCATCCTTGATTCCACTGCTAGCCACCATCAGGTAGATCATAGCAGTTAAAACTCAGGCGATATCGATGCATCCACGAAAGAGATCATCCACCACCAGATGTTGATCAACTCCGTGCAGTATGACACCGGGGAATTACAAGTATCAGTAGGTAATAATGATGGAGACTTGTTGCGTAAGGGGCTATTCTCATGTCTCTGTGGCTTCGAGGAGAACGCTTCAGCATTTGATGCGGTCAGTTTTGGGTTCGAGTTTCAGTGATAACGCAGTCACTCTTCAGGTTGAAGGAGAATCTGGCTGATGAGTCACAAACAAGACGAAATGAGCTTTGTGAGTTCCACTTCTAGCCACCAACATGTAAGTTACAGCGGCGTTTGTTTGATTACTCAGTCATACAACATTTCTTGCGTTCATTAACAGGAAAGAAAGAGTTCGACATCCTGAGACAACAGTAGTAGAATGATTGTAAGAGACGGGAGACAACAGGAATTACTTATCTAAGTCAAGATGAGTGTAAAGTCATGTATGATCTTATTGATAATTTTAAACTGATAGATAACTCTGATGCCTTCAGGATGACGAATAAACAAGAAAGTCTTAGGTATACTGCTTTTTACTGAAGCCATATCAATCAGACTTTTTAAGTTGAAACATTCTAAATAGCAAGTGGCTAGTCTGCATTCACTCACGTAATCCAACAAAGTTGCGGTTAAACCATGCGCTTCTCTCTATCAACTGATCTTTCCTGACAGTTATTTTGATGCCTTCCAATGATAAATGTATTGGTGTAATTGCTCAGTTGTTTTGCGAGTCTGATCCTTAATATCTCTGTTTGCCATACACTCTTTTTCATGAAAAGCCTAAAGCTGTCGATAGGATCACTGATTGTAGCTAAAAAATCAATTTCCTGTATTCTACTGTCGTCTCAAATCTTTGACTTACCGCTTTAGTTAATTGGAAGTAATCTACAAGAAGTCCTGGACGTAGATTTCCTGCTTGTTAACACTAGCCAGCAAGGTATGAAATGAGTCACTCCCCATTGACCAGTCGACATATAGAATCCAGTGCTATAGATGGCTGGTCGGGGTCCGAGTAGCTCAAAAGTAATATAGCTGATTGCAGCACATGGGCTGGAATTTCACATAGGACAGTACTTCCGTACAGATGAGTCTTACTGAAAAGAGTCAACGACCGCAATCCATAGGTCAAGTAGCGCTGATTGCTGATTACTTCAATCGAGGTGAGTCTGTATGGTGAGTCATCCAGCTTGATGACCCCATTGAGAAGTGATCGATAGAATTCGGTCAGTACTTAGGCCTCGAAAACTTATGATTTGACCAATCCAAAAATTAAATGTGAATTAATGGCAAGAAAGCAGAAACATGACAGGCGAATGTGGAAATTTTTCATCAAAGATACTATTTTAGATGTAACTGTATTTTGGTTGCTCAACTTGCTTAACCTCTTATTTTTTTTTGTTAAAATCTTGTACACAGGGTGAATTTGTGTTCTCGTTTAGGCGAAACGTTCAGCTGCTTTTTGAAGGTACTACCCACAACTCTGGGAGGTGAAAATAAATCATGTATTACATGAATAAATAATCTTGAATGAAAATCTGTCGTCAAGACTTGCTGATATCATTATTAAGCAAATGACGGGAGACTCAATAGTTTTAATGAAACACTTGCAAAGTAATTGGTCATCTGTAACTTCACTAAACTCCTCAGGAAATGACCTTTAATGTATGCAGGAAGAGCTAAGCACTACAACTTGAGTGAATGAAGTCTTTTAATGCTGTATTCAAGTGATGTCTTCCAAGCAGTATCCTTCCTTGTTTTCGCACTACTTTAGGAAACCGTCATGTATCATTCAATAGAATGCTGACTGTAATAAACTGGTTAAATTTCCTTAAGACACATAAACAAGCCAGAAATACCTACTTGGATCTGTTCTGTCGATTCCTGTTATGAATAAATAGTAGTTTGATTATTCCAGGAGATGCAAGAATGATGATGCACTGATTCATCTGTTGACAGCGATAAGACGTCGGATGAATAATGCCGTCAAAAGTGAAACTATCATCTAAACCTACAAGCATTCCCAGAAGCCTAGGTAGGCAATTATCAGATAGACTAATGAATTAATCTTTTGTGTTGTATCGCATAATTATGACTACTGTCGGTTAGCAGTAGTACGCAGAGTCGAAAGACAAACAGAAGCTCCTTATCAGTGTATATAGAGCCATTTTACTCCTTATCATATCAAATTCTTTGCAAAAGAGTGTGAAATATTTTGAGGATGACGCATTGAACGATAAATAGTTACTCAGGGTGTCACTACCAACAGAGAAGGAAGTAAAAGATGAATGGGTAGTAAACCTTTCAGAACACCTACCATCTACGATAGAGTACGATTTAAATTCGGAGAGAAATGAGCTACAACACTGGAAATGCAAACGACCTGGACTTCTGTGCTTCTTTGGAGACTACGTTGAAAACCTTAGGAATAAACATTAAGCTAAAACGGGAATTACACCAATCAACTGTACCTCTAGTACAAATCAAAAGGAATCAACATCTACTAAACTTAAATGAAAGGAATGTACTGAGTTCGCTAATGACGTACAAGACAATTTTAATATACCCACCAGATAAAAGTAAGAAAGCTATCGTCATGAATAAAACCATGTTAAAAAAGCATAAGCATTCCTAGGCACTGGATCGAAATTCAGTTGACCAATTAGACATCCAGGTTCAAAGAAAACTTAGAAATTATGTAAAAGCTGGCCAAATCGCAAAGTAAGAAAAAAAAGTCTGGAGAAAAACAAACTAGTCCTACAGAAGTTCTACGGTTAACTCAAGATGGGTATTCTACTACGACCAACAGTTCTACTAACTGGGACACCTTCATTCAGTCTGTCGAAAGAGCTACATAGGAAAAAATATAAACATTTATTTTACCTACATACGTCTTTGACCAAATAACCTTAAAATCGTTTTAGGTTGACAGAAGAATAAGTCAAAGCTTCTGAAAATTATTTTTTATTTGAATCAATATTGGTAAAAATCATTTGTTTCTGTCAGTCGGCTGTGTATAGTTTATCAGTGGAAATGTTATGGAATTCCTCTGATATGATGTACCGATTAAAATAGGTGAACATTATCGGTTTTGCCATTTTCACCCTCCTGTGATTTCATAATAGTTCAGTTGTTTGGATACTGAAGGTATAAACAAGCAGGTTGAAACATTTCAATTGCAGCTGACACCTTAGATCATCGCAATAAGCCACCAGCTTGTAGACGTATTGAACAGGAGACTCTAAGGAGTTCTGACTAATGAATTCAGTACTGAACTGCTGTTGTAAGTGTGTCTCATCTCAGAAGTCTTCTAGAACTCTCAGTGGACGGTTATATAAGTAGATTTGGCTTAGCAATTGATGCGAAACTGTTAACTTAATTCAAAGCATTTTGTCTTGGAAGCCCTTTACTATGGACACCAGCTGACAGTTCATGAACCATGTATTCATTATGAGCTTCACAGGAAGACGTGACAATCATTTCTGATTCAAGTTGAGTTTATATGAACCGCGAAACTTCTTTCAAGAAAGTTGTCTAGCTCTGACTGCTTTTGTATAATTTGTTACTAATATTTCGAGATTTCGCTCTTTTCTCCAACGTCATTGTTACAAAGCAATAATTTGCCACAGCAGTTCTCCAGGAATGAGCATCAGGATCTATACACAATAACTTTAAAATTTCAGTTTCTGTTGGCGATAGGAAATGCATATTCGCATGTAGTTTTGTTATTATCCTGTTATGTATTGCTCAATCCACTTAACGAATCTGCAGCTGTCAAGCTGCTTTGGTGTTTCATTTTGCCAGCTTTAGTTTTGTCCTACTCAAAATCTAACATGAAACCAGTATTCCATATACCAAGTAATTTACAGACGACTTAAAGTTCATAGTTGTAGAATAATAATTTACTGGATGAGCACTTGATGTACATCAAAGATATGAGAGAATTGCGATTCAACTTATGATGAGTAAAATAAGAATGAAAACCGACAAACTCGGCATCATTTACCATTTGTGGGATATAATTTTTATCTGTTTGACTCTCTGAGATAACGACGGTTCGGTGGACTCTCATTACTGAATTGAAGTGAAAATCTGATTGATGGTATGATTCGAACCATCTGCCTCCAGGTTACCGGTGTGTTGCTGTACCAAGTGAGCTACAAGGTCTATATTATCTTTACTCATGACATTAGTGACCCTTTATTCAGGGCTTTTGAGCAAGTATGCGTGGAGTATTGGTAGTCAAGTGAATGGTTTGAGATAGAATGAACAGTGAAAGCACAGAATGATGCATGTTATTTATTTCCCAAATGAAATACTATTGGCAATCATCGTTTAAGGTAACCGTTTTTCCAAGATTTCCAACAGTTATTTGACATTTAATTTCAAAAAGTGTACTTTTCAGGATCAAATTAATACATATGGAAAAGGCATGCTGTCAGACACTTTTGTAGTTCATGGTTTAAACTTAAAACAGATGTAAGCTTGAAGGTACATGGCAGTCGCTTCCGCGAACCTCGACAATCTGGATATATTCTGTACGTTAATTATTTTAAGACTACTCAAGGTATCAGCCTGGTGTCCTGCGTCTATCAGGCGTTTGGCAATTGCATTGGTTAGAATCTAACTTCATTTCAACCACACATTCACGATGCGCTCAGCAAACCGAATGTAGGTCCTCCTGTCAGTCGTTCCAATGTAATTGGTACTGTAAGTGGATGAGAAGTCTGAAATATAGTTGGGGGTGATATGATCAGGGTGATTACTTAATTTTGACTGGTTTAGTTAGAATACAGTATTGTATGCTGATACAAGTTTATCTGAAGGAAAGCTCCTTCTCAGTGCTTCTTTGATAATTGCCTATATTCTTTGGATATTGTATCTCCCTTGAATATGAGGTGTATGGAACTCAGTGAAACATTTGTAAACGTTGAAACACATCTATCTGATCATAGGAAAAGACAGAACGCGGTTGCAGTCAAGAAAAAGTTTTTCTTCCACGGTTATCGGAACTTGAACGTAACCTGTCACAAATATCCCATGTTCTTTTTAAATTATTCGCTGATGAGAAAGTAGGATTTGAAAACTACGTTACTAATGTAACTAAGAAGCGAACTTATAATGTCAGCCTGAAGGTATGTAAAAGGTTAAAGCCTTTGCTTCATATCCTGGAAAATATGTGTTCAACTCCTCAAATGTATTAATGTCCCAGATCAAATGCAAATCTTATCACTTTAACCTAAATTCTATGACGTGACTTCAAAAGTCGACGAGCTTCATGCAAAAGTCCAGTTCGAAAATCTAATTAATCACACTAAGGATATAGTTCCAGTTCTATAATGATGATGCTAACCACTTTAAATCAACAGCCGTAAATTGCTGTCTTGACCATAAAAATAGAAAGTCCAGCTATCAACATCTTTCGTCAAAAGAACATTGAAATCAATTGAATGAACTGAAGAAAAACAAACACTTGATCAGGATACACCCAGATAAGGGCTCTGAAATAGTATTACTAAACAAATCAGACTATTTGGAAAAAATTTCACTTGTTCTACCCAACGAAAATAAATTCTTAAAGCAGACAACATAGAAAGATCCTACTGAGCAAACAGCTTTATTTGTTGAAGATACTGAAGGAAGTGGGAGATGAATCATTCATTAGCAAAGAACTATGTGAAAAACTCCGCCCTTCAGCTTCTACGATCCCTCTTTTATACTATCTTCCTAAAGTACACAAAGTAGGTATTTTACTCCGTCCAGTACTAGATATGATAAACTCTCCATATCATTCAACCGCAAGACGGCTTGTGGAAATATTTGAACCTGTAAAACAGGAGGCTATTGAACCACAGTCTCCGTGACACATTTGTTTTTATTGATTGACTTAAGAATGTTAGTTTGACAGATAAAAGAGTGATTTCATTGGATACTGTGTCCATCTTCACAAATGTCTCGCTGACAGAAACCATCTGCTTCTTGTATGACTTTATTCAATGTCATAATATAGATGTTGGTATTCCAACTCACTTCCTTAAAAGAGGTTCATCGATATACCTTTAATTTATACTTCAGATTTAATGAAATCTACAGTCAGATAGATGGTGCGGTAATGGGTTCTTCAATAAGACCTCACTTAGCTGGTTGCTCAATGGCAAGCGTGGAAAACACCAACTTATCAACAACAATCAATGAAATTCCCGTCTACAAAAGATACATTAATGATACGTTCATGATTTCCGGTGAAAATATGTATTTCCAAACCTGATTCACACTTTCGACAACGCCCATTCTAAAGTCAAACTCACTGTAGAATGAGAATCAAGCTCAACTTTCCCTTTTCTCGATGTTCAACTCCAAAGAAAAGATGATAATTCACTTCATAGATCGGTTTACAGAAAGCCTACATCGAATGAACAGTTCACTAGCTTTCAAAGTTTGGTCCCTTTAATTTTGAGGAGAAATCTTTTTCATTCACTTTCCTCCAGGATCAGGAAAATATGTACTGAAGACACTCTTGACAGAGAACTGCAAAATCTCCGACTAACTCTGGTAGGAAATGGTTTCCCACCTAGGTTCATAGCTAAGAACTTAAAGCCTAAGAA